CTGGGGACTCCGAGAAGAAGCACTTGCACCAGAAGCAGGCCCGAAGACACCTGTTTGGGTAAAAGCCTCCTGCAGCAGCCTCGTCGCGTCAGCAGGATTAGCCAAAACATCTTCCTCGGGGACGACAACTGAGCCTTGGGTAGACTGAATTCAACAGGAGAAAAAAGTTAATCAACTTTTTTATACGAAAGGTAAAAACAAGATGGGTTCGACTTACCATGATTTTTGGCCTTCCACCCATATTTAAGGGTAAGTTCTTTCCACGTGCGGGTCTCGGAGATAGTGACATCCAAAATTTTCTGGACCCACTGGTCCAAGCCTTCAACCCTAGGTGGTGTCCACCGAGTTGCTGAAATAAGTGAAAGAAGAAGGGTCATCATGGGGCAATCCTTAATAGAATAAAAAACAAACGGTGACTTACGAGTACGGTTCCATAATTCCGAAAAGGATGGAGTCGTGGACTGAATGATATCTCTGGTGGTGAGTGCAACGAACCGTTTCATCCACCCGCGGTTGTTGTCACCATCCATGCTGGTTAGCAGAGCATGGTGGCCACATTTGCTGAAATTAATCATTCCCCCACAAAAAATCTTGGGGGTATAAAGGTTCATTAATCGAGCCAGGGTTAGCTCCTCTCTCGTCTCCTGGAATAGACGCCGAAGACAAGCAACTATCCTCCACACAGAAGGACTTACTTGCGCCAGGCATACCTGGTAACGGATGCAGAACTCCACAATAATAGAGTCAAGCTCCCCGCTAAAAGAGAATGGTCCCAAAGTGAAGGGATACGTATAAAAATACGTGAAACCCTTCTTGGGCAAGGTATTCGCTCCGCCAGGTCAGGAGAGATGATGTTTAAATCATGAAAATGACAGTCTTCCTTCACAGCAGGAATGTTGGAAGGACGGATAGAAGAAGGATACACTCCAACAGCCCACGTGCGAGGATTAGCAGAAGGGTACTTCTCTTCAAAGTCCTTAGTTATGACAAGACTCCTTGGAATGATGGTGCTCACCGTTGGAGGAGCATCATCATCAATTTTACCTTTGTTCTTTAAGGAACTGAGGTTTCTGGAAGAAGATGCCATTGTTATTATAAGAGAGAAAAGGTTTTTTTTTTTCTGAAGAAGAAGATTAGAGAAAGTTGAAGATAAGTTCGAGTTGAGTAAAGAGAGTTTGAGAAAGTTTGGAAAGTTATGAACTGTAAATGGAGAAGTTTGATGCATATAAGTAAAGGAATAGGCGGCTAAAATCGTGGCCATAATCCTCGATAATCGGAAAAAGTGGTGCTGAATCGTGGGACAATGCGTGTTCGGGTATTAAATGCTAAGAAACGTGGGTCTAATCAACAGTCAAAAACTTTTAAGAGGGGGTCAGAGAATTTTTCGCCAAGAAAGGTATCTCTACCAACTTCTCGGTGACACAAATTTATGCCACCGGAAAGCAGGGGGACTATCTGTATAGAATAACATATTTAATGATCGCATGAGAAAGCAAAACGTGGAGCCGAAGACAGTCGGGTCTGAAGGCAATGATCTCGTCTGTTATCGGAGATAATGATATTCATGAAGGCGAAATAAATGCATGCCACCCGGTAGCATTTAATGAAGAATATTCTATAGCATTAAGTGCACAGTCCGTTAAAGAGAATATGGCATTCACTGCCTACCGTTACATATTCTTCATTGACCCTCATAATTGTCATTTAAGAGGGGCTTGATCTTAGGACCTTGTTCCCTAGGCGTGACTATAAATGGTGGACCCTACATCCATCGTAAATGACACGAATTTTCTGACAAACATACACTATATTCTATCAAAAGCTCAATAATATTTGGCTTTCTTGCTTATTCATATTGTTTATATTGCCTCCGAAAGCTCTGCTTCCGGAGAGCTTCCGGGACTAAGATTTCTGCTGTTTTATCCCAACTGCAAAGCTAAGTCTTACATTTTTGTCTAATTTATTTATCATTTTAGGATCAAACTGATTCACTTGTCTATAAACCACATATAAATTTAAATGTACCGTTTTACGGGTAAACAGTCACCTCCCTGATAAAATGTAGGGTCTTTCCCGCTGCACTAGAGGAATGTGTTCAACAAGCGGTGTCATTCATTTAGTTTTATACTATTTTATTGTTCACATATCATGTTTATACATCTTTGCTAAAAATTTTGACGAAGCGGTGTCACGTGATACCGCTTCACCCTAGGTAAATCTGTCCCTAGTGTCCCCGGTCAGCTATAGTTGCATCATGTCTTGCCTAATCACATCTCCCCAATTCTTCTTCCGCCCACCTCTACCTCTCCCTAGGCCCTCCAATATCAACCTCTCACACCTCTTTACTAGGGCGTTTGTGCTTCTCCTCCTCACATATCTAAATCTTCTAAGTCTCGCTTCCCGTATCTTGTCCTTAATAGGGGTCACGCACACCTTGTCCCGAATAAATTAATTTCAAGGATTATCGTTCGATTTTTAATTTATTGCATTCAAGTTATTAAACTATTTTTTATTAAATAAATTTACTCAATTTTATCTTAGTATCATAAAAAGCTACATGCTTATGGGCAAAGCAGCTAAAGTTGGTGGTTTAGGCCCCATAATTT